TTCCACAGGAATCTGTGAGTAAGTAGCAAGAGTTCCCTCCATAGAGAAGAAAAATGCCCTTGGATGCTACAGCATAAAATGAGAATGTATGTGTCTCTCCAAGATCACAGGACTTGTTTGAGAACTACATGGTGAGTTCTTAGAAGTTTCTAGGTATGGTTAGGAACGAAACTATGACTGCTGAAGGATAGTTAGCCCGGGAATGTCTGCCACAGATAAAGCATTTCTGTTAAGTTGGAGGATCACATCGTTACTTTAAGCGTGTGTGAGAGACAGCCTCTCCACATCTACAGAGGGTAGAATGAGGTACAAAGGGTAGAAATCAGTGGATCACACGATTCAATCCACAGGAAGCCAAAGGCTGAGCAGTTACTTCAGGAAATAGTGGACATCTCAACACCAAACAAATATTTGGATGAACATTTCCCTCAAGGTTTCTGCATTATTTCTTTTGATCCCATCAATTGCCTTTCTTTTCTTTTCGTTTTGTTTTTAAAACAGGGTTTCAATGTGTAACAGCCCTGGCTGTCCTAGAACTTGCTCTGTAGACCAGGCTGGCCTCAGACTCACAGAGATCGGCCTACCTCTCTATCTCCAGTGCTGGGATTAAAGGCATGTGCCACCATGCCTGACTTCTATCTACTGATTTTTAATTGCCATGGATGTTTGTTTTGAATAAAATATTCTTTTTATTTCATGTATTGCATTTTTTTGACAAGTCAACACTCACTTGTCTTACCTCATTCTTTTCCCCAAGCAAAGCTCATTCCTTCTTGTATTATCATGATTCCAATGGAGCCCTGGGCATTAAATCCCAGGTTGTTGATGGCTTTTTATTTGTAGAACTTAAAAGATGCTATGTCTTACTTCTGGTTTCTGTTTCCTCTGATAAGTCAGCTGATAGCCTCGCTCTTGCTCGTCTGTATTTGTATCCTTAAGTTTTTTTCCCTCTTATTCAAGTTGCTCTCAATATTTTTGTCGTCTCTGGATCCAGTTCTGTTGACTATTTATTTCATTTTTTGCATGGACTTTTCCCCTTTTAGTGTATTCCCACTTCTTAAAACATTAAATGATGCATGCTATGTATAATGAAAATTAAAGCCTGAGGTAAATAACCCGGATATGAATTCTCCTCTTTCTATCAGGCTCTTAGTTTGGAATGCTAGTCAATTTAGTCAGTTTTTGAGGTGAATGGGTTTTTATTGTTGCCCTAGTAATTTTCAGTGCACAGCACACTTGAAATTCCTCCAGTGGTGGCCTGGACTGCCACTATGTGCTTAGTGTGAGGTCTGGAATGCTAAAGAAATTTTTCCTCAGTTTCCCAGCCCCTCCCTCAGATTCTAGCAGGTTCTCCAGGACAACAGAGTAGGAGTTTGTTTTCATGTTTTTGCCCCTCCCACAACAGTAATGGATGTTACCAGGTGCTGGCTGAAAGCTTACTGATGGGGAATAGGAAAGGCGCCCATCAGCACTCTGGCTTGCATCACAGTCTGAAGCAGGCTGCACATCTGTCCTTGAGTGACAAGTACTCTCTCCTCTCCAGAGCAGGGTCCAGGACACACGTGGCCTCCCTGCCCCTCCCTAAACTCTAGAGACTCATGTATTTACACTTATTGCTGAGAGCTGTTTGGCTAGGATGTGTTTTTCTGTGTTTCCTAGTTTCTTGAGTCCGTGGCATATCTTTCATCGGCTTTGGAAATTTTCTAGGTAGTATCACTTCACATACAGAGGCTAGCTCAGATTTTTCTGAATGCCAACTCCAACCACACAGTAATAATAACCACACACAATAAACCTTCTATCACACCCCACATGTGTTTGATGTTTCATAGATTTTTTTTTCCCATTCTCTTTCTTCTCTTTGACTGACTGGCACCAGTGGCCTCTCTCTCAGTTCCTGAGGCCGCTTTTCAACTGGACTTTTCAATCTGGACTGAAACAGTCTATTGAAGTCCGCTTCCTCGTTGTTATTATCTGACACAGGCTCAAGCTGGCCTCGAACTCACGTTCCTTTTGTCTGCACTTCTCAAATGCCGAGATGAAGGCTGTCCGCCACAATGTCTAAGGCCAGACATAGTAGATCTCCTGGAGCTAACATTATAAGCAAATGTCTGACACCAAGCGTGGGGCTAGGAAGCGAATTCAAGTCTTCTGCAAGAGCTGTCCACGCACTCTCAAGTGTTGATCCATCTGTCTAGCCCTGAGATACATAGAGTTTTGAGGTGAGATATAGGGTATCACTAGATGGCCTCAAATTCTCTATGTACCTGAGAATGGTTCTGAACTCCTAATCTTCCTGCTTCTATCTCCCAAGTGCTGGTATTACAGTGTGCAGCACTTACGCTCTGAATCGAACCCAGGGCCTCAGGCACAGTAGACAAGTACTGTACCTATTGGACTACATCCTCAGGCCTTGATCCCGCCCCCTTTTTTTGAGTTCTAAGGTTTCCAGAAAAGTCTGTATCTGATAATTACAATATCTGTATCTATTTTTGTATCTCTTATTTTCTCTTGACTTTTAGCAGAGAAATTTATTTCCTGGCATTCTTGGATATTTTTAGTTGAATGAAAAATATTGGCTGTGAAAAAACAGTAGATTTTTAGGGGATGTTGTCTAAAGAGATTTAAACTTGCTGTGAATGAGTTTGAGACACTTACCTTGCAGTTAAGGCTGGCCTAGTTATAATTAATTTAGCCTTCCTCGCGGAGCATGGCTATTCCAAGATCTAAATAAATGCTGCATTTTTCTTTGACAAGACTTTCAATTTTCATCTCCTTTGCCTCATGGGACTAGCAACTACTTTCTTAGCCTTTTCTTTCTTGGTGTTTGTTTCTCTGAGCTTTGTGAGGTGTCTTAGCTTTTCAGGGACCAGCCAGTGGTCTAGAAAGAAAAATGATACAGGAAACATTGGTAACCCTCTATAATAATTTTAGTGTTTCCACCTCATGCTATAGTTGCTGGATTTAACCCAGAACTCCGTTTTCGGTAGGCCCAGCCTCGAGATTGCTACATACTAAAGAACGGTACACAACCCAATCCTTGACTCAGCAAATACCCCAGTGGGCGATCACAGCCGAGGACTCACCTCAGTGTGTCTTTGGCCTCTCTTGGGAACTCCTTGTCCCAGACACTTCAGGCTTTGTTGTATTCTACTCTGTGTGGTGTCTGAGTTTTACAGCCGTTCTCCCAGGCTGAGTCACGCCACGAAAAGCCGCTCCGTGTTCTATTCTCAAGGCACCAAGTCTTGGCTATTTCTATAAAGTCCTCTTAACAACTTTGTATTCAAGCTTAAAATGCACTTTTTAAAAATCCATATTTTATGTATTTGTATATATTCAAGGTCACAGTTATGATAATATTTTATTTTTTCTCTAAACTTTGGTTAATTATTTGTTAAAGACCATCTGGCAATATATTGTTACACTAGAGGAGTTTAAGATCCTGGTACTATTTAATCTGGTATAATTGTGTTCCCTAAAGGACAGACAACCACGTATTTATATCGTCCCTTGAGGAAACACTCACACATACAATGCAGCTCACTGCACAGTCCAAGTCTACAGTTTAGACAATGTTAAAAATGCAGGATCTCCAAAGATCATGGGAGCTCACGGAGGTTGAGGCAGCATCCACAGGACTGCACAGGTCTGTACCAGGTCCTCTACACACATACTATGGCTTCCAGTTCAGTGTTGTCATGGGATTTCTGAGTGTTTAAATGAAGGGGTCTCTGGTTCTTGTGCCGTCTCTTGGGCTCTTTCCTTTCTGTGTTTGTTTGTTTGTCTTGTCCAACTCCAACGTGATCATTTTTGTTTTATCATATTGTATTATATTCCCATAGAAGCCTGTTTGTCTTCTAATGAGAGACAGAAAGGGAGTGGAGCTGGATGGAAGGGGAGGTGGGGAGGAACTGGGAGGAGAAGGGGGAGAACTGTAATCAGGAGACGTTATGTGAGGGGAAAAAAATCTGTCTTCAATAAAAGGGAAAAAAAGGAGGCGTCTCACAGAAAGGAAAAAGTTCGATAAATATGCATTTGAGTCAAATTAGGATAGTAGATGAAAGTAGATGGGAAATAACCTAGATATGATATAGTATCAGAACGCCTCTGCAAATGAGTTTTAGAGAGCTGGAGTGATTATGGTAAACCGCTGTTGAGAGCGGGGGAGGGGGGGAACAGAATGTTCTAGAGGTGAGACAGGATGTTTTTAATTAATTCTATTTATTTATTTTGTATATATATGCGTGTGATTGTGCGCACACCATAGTACATGCGTGGATATCAGGAGTCTATATTCTCTTCCCACCATGTGCGTTCCAGGAATTTAACCAAGTTATCAGGGCTGGTGACAAAGCACCCTTGCTCACTGAGCCATCTCACCGGCCAGAGAGACGTTTTAGGATGGAGATTGCTGGCAAATATTAAGACATCGCTGGAAGATTAGAGAAGATGTGGAAGTATGCTGGTGTTAAACTTTTCCTATGTCTCCCGAGAGAGGAGAAGATGGAGAAGCAGTGTGTAACAGGATTCTGTGTTTAAAGGTGACACTTGTAGCAGGACTGAAAACTCAAGCCACTGGAGCTTAGGGGATCATTTTGAGGAGGAAGCTGTCATACAGCCACCAGGTACTAGGGGCGCTTGATGAGAGAGACTGTGAAACTCCAAGACGTGAAAAGGAGGAAAGCAGAACTGGGAAACAAAGGCATGTATAATGCAAAGGTGCAGCTAAAACCCTTCTTCCGGGGATAAGCTCCTGCTGAAAGGATTCGTGTCCCTGACGTTGTGTAAATGGAAAGCAATTATTCACTAACACCCAGGAGAAAAAGAGGAAGCATGGCTACCATCGGCGTGCAATTGTACTATGCAATATGAAATTCCTTATTAAATCTTCTCAGAACAGTTAGAAAGTAATTTCCCCTGGAAAATTGTCTCTATCCACTGTCTCAATTTCTACCTTCACCTCTTGGCTCACTGCATCTGGCTTTTGTCTGTCATTTCAGCAGGAATCGTCCCGATGAAAGTTACCAAGGACTCCTTTATTGAAACCCCACAGGATCTCCGCTTGAACACCATCTCCTTGGGGAAGCCTTCCTTAAGCTCAGAGCACAGTAAGATCCCATCTCACTTGTTCTGCAAAGACCATCCCACTGCACGACAACTATTTACAGCTATTACTCATTCAGGACTGGATGGTATGAGGAGAGACGCTGTCTTATTTAACTTTGTATCACTAGCATCAGGTGTGCTACTGACTTAATTATTATCCATTGGTAATATGCCAGTGGTGATCTGAATGAGGCTGGCCCCCATAGGCTCATATATTTGAATACTTGGTCCCCTGGTTGGTGGAAGTGTTTGGAAAGGATCAGGAGGTGTGGCCTTGTTGGAGGAGGTGCATCACTGGGGCTGAGCTTTGAAGTTTCCAAAGACTCATATGATACCTAGCGCTTTCTCTCTACTTCCTACTCTTGGATCCAGATGCAACTCTCAGTTTTTCCTGCCACCTTGCCTTTGCTCTGCCATCATAGATTTTAACTGTCTGAAACCATAAATCCAATTAAATACTTTCTCTTATAGGCTGCCTTGGTCATGGTGTTATTCCACAGCAATAGATGTAACTAAGAAAATTCCCCCATTACCTCTTTCTTTTAATCCTTTCTGCAAGAAATACACAAAAAAATAAAACATTTCTAAATATAACAAAAACAAAAGCTGTTCAAAATATGAACAGAATAGACATTTCCTCCAAGAACATCCTTTTTTCTTATACTGTACATAAATTATTTTGTAACAAATGATTAATATATCAGTTAAGTCCTAGATGCTTTAAGGTTGGTTTTCTTATCTTTTAGTTTCTCCCATCACCACAGCTCAGCAACCAACTTCTTTTTTTTTAAGGGGGGCGGGGACGGGGGTTGGGTTCTTTTTCAAGACATGTTCTCACTATGTAGCCCTGGCTGTCCCAGAACTCACTATGTAGACCAGGATGGCCTCTACCTCATAGAGGTCAGCTTGGCTCTGCTTTATGAGTGCTGGGGTTAAAGGCAGGTGTACACCACTATGCCTAGCTCCAAACTTCTTATGGTTCTATCGTATTGTGTTCTTATTAGCTAAACACTAGGTTTGACTTTGTTATTTTATGTGACTCCTCAGAAGTTAAGAAACATATAAGTAGCAATTAAAATAAATACCTCATACAAATACTTTGGCTTATAGTTTTACCTAATGTGGCTTTATTTAGCAATGCCCCTCATGATCAGTAAGTAGTCTGGCATAGTCTAACTGGCTTGCACATCTTTGCATACTGGGATCTTAACAGGTGAGGACAACTTATCTACATTTTTCTGAACACACTCGTATGTACTTTTATTTATTTTTCTATGGTGCTGTGATTGGACTCAGGGCTCTGTGCATGCGGGGGATTACTTTGCCACTGAACTCTACACACTATACTCTGGATCTTAGTTTTTATTTGCCTGTTTCGTAACTACAGTTTTGCAAACACTGTAGCATTTACTAAGGTGATGCTCATGGCATTTGGAATCACCTTTGGTTCTTTCTGTCTCATTTATTTCTCTATTTCAGCAATTGCCAAACTGTTTTCTTCTCACATCTACAAAGCCCATCCTTCATCCCTTTAGTTTTGTTTGATATTTATCTTTTCGCCCTTCCGCTTATAAACCCAGGACCTTGTATATGCTAGGCAAGCACTCTACCATGGAGATACTTCCTTAGCCCTTAATTTCTTTCTTGAGACAGGGATTTGCTAAGTAGCCCAGGCTGCCCTTGAGCTAATAATCCTCCTGCTCTGGCTGCTAGAGCTGTGGTTATAGGTGTGCTCCATCATAGCTGGCTTATTCTAATAGTTGTGTTATCATAAAATGCTCTTAATGCCAATTATTATTTAAACATTACTGAATGATATAATATGGATAAGCATCTACATATGCTGGAAAGACAGTCACTGAAATTATTCTTAGAAAGATTTTAGAGCAGTGAGGCAATAAAAGATATAAGGACATTCTTTTTTAAGCAAGTTTGTAGCTACGCGGTGGTGGTGCACACCTTTAATCCCAGCACTCAGGAGGCAGAGCCAGGTGGATCTCTGTGAGTTCGAGGCCAACCTGGTCTGCACAGAGAAATCCAGGACAGGCACCAAAACTACACAGAGAAACTCTGTCTTGAAACCCCTCCCCCCAAAAAAGAAAGGAAGTTTGTATTAAATACATACCCAATGACATGCAAAGTTGAAGAAAACCAGCTAGAGTCTAAGAGGTAAATGTATACAAATTGTTAACTTATTGTTCCATGTGAATATATAATTTCCATGAAGAAACCTATTCTACATTGTGAATTTAAATAACAACAACAGTATATAATCAATAACTGACAAGTAGTAGAGATAGTCTTCAATGACAGACATATAAAGAGTTGATTGGGATGGGCACAAACCAATAGCTTGTCCAATCTCTGATTCTTTCCTGCCTCAGTTTCCTCATTGTGCTTCCTAGCAGCTAGCAGAGAACTAAGCAAAGATGTTTGAACATATCCAGGTAACAGAAGATGAAAATGATGAGTCCCATGAAATATCATCAAAGACCATGGAACAGTATTGCTGTCCACTGTTGCAGCCCCGTTTTCAGGGCATGTGGCCTGCATGACAGGAATCCAGTTTCTCAGTGTATGAATGGTTTATGGCTGGTGGAAGGAAATCCGCATCCCCCAATGTTGGCTGGGGAAATCTGGTCTAGATTGTCAACTACCCAGAAGATAACAAAAGGGAAATGGAGAGGAAAGGTGTTTCTTCAGCAGCGAAAGTAGAAGTAACCAGAAAACATCTGATTTAATAGTGCCAGATTTCCCATGACTAGCAACCAAATAGGATCTTACAGACTATGTAGGTGCTTTGGAGATCATCCTATGGTGCAGGACTAGGGAGATCTTAAAACTGGAAGGGTTTGACTTCATTCAGTTTATGCAATATGAAACCCAACTGAAAACAATGCCATCAGGACATTTGCTAGAGAGCCGATGCAAGCCCAGATGAGCCCCTGAGGAGCGGAAAGTTGTTTGTTGGACGTTATTTAGAAGACACAGCGGCCAAAGGGCTTCGACAGCTCTCCTGTCAGCATGGGAAAGTCGTAGATGTCTGTTGTTGTTTCCAAACCACTCAGGGCTTTGGCTTTTGCTGTGTTTACAAATGATAAGGTTGCCCAGTCTCTTTGTAGAGAGGATTTGATCGTTAAAGGAACCAGTGTGCAGTTATTCAACGCTGAACCTAAGCACAATAGCAGTAGACAGAAAGAAGTGGAAGACTGGGTGGAAATCCAGGAGGCTTTGGGAAATCTGGGTGGGTTTGGTAACACTAGAAGGGGTGGAGCTGGCTTGGGAAATAGCCAGGGTGGTGGTACGGGTGGAGAGGTGAACTTTGGCATCCTTATCATTAAGCCATTAAACCAAATTAATGATGGTTGCAGCCCCGGAGGTACCGCAGAGCAGTTGGGGTATGGTAGGCATTTTAGCTTGCCAGCAGAACCAGTCAGACGCAGAGCCAGGGCAGCACACTGATGGAGCCAAATCAGGGTTTGGGTTCTGGAAACAACTTCCACAGTGGTTATAATTGCGAGGCCCCTTTTGGTTGGGGACAGCGTCAAATGCAGGGTCAGGCAGGGGTTGCAGTGGAGTTTTGGCTCAAACATGGATTCTACATCCTCTGCCTGGGGAATGTAGGCAGTGGGCTTCGGTTGGTTGGTAAGTTGGCTGGTTGGTTAGAAATGGTGAGAATTAATTTTTTCTAAGCCTGTGATGAGTATACTGTAAAATAATCTGTGCTAAGCATTTTCCAACTTGCTTCTTCAGTGTGGAGTACATTCAGCAGCATTTTTGACATTTTTCTTCAGAAAAAGGGGAAAAGCTGAAGGAATTTTGTGAGTTACGAGTTATGTTACACAGGGGGGCTAGAAGACTGAGTGGCTGAAAGTGAACCGCTGTCTGCCTGACCGGAAGAGACCCGACGCTTGCAGCTGACCTCAGGTCCCCCCCCCCCCCCCCCCCCCCCCCCCCCCCCCCGCCCCGATGCTCTACCATCAGACTTGGGAATTCCTTGCAGGTTTGGAGTAGGAAGCATTGCTTAGAACTGGATTCTCTCCTCTTTATTTTAATCGAAACCCGTCCTATGGATTTTCCTCTTGGGAATCTCTCCTTTTGGAAGAGATTGTGTTTGGTTCTACTAGCCTTGTGTAACTCATACCTTCTTTCATATACTAAAGTACAACATGAAGACTTCATTTAATTTCCGCAGTCTCTCTCATTTCAAATGCTTGTGGAAGAAGCGCTTCATGGAAAGGCGTGCTGTACATACTCTGCCAGATAGCTCCCTCTGTCTACATGCCTCCTCACCAAAGAATCCATCATCACACAGCACAGGCTGCATCATCTTCAATAGTGGCATTCCACTACTCTTTTTGAAAAACACAATATTTATTTATTCTTCTCTCATATATTACATTCTTCCTGAAGTTCCCCATCCCTCCTCTCTCCCCTACCCCCTTCTCCCCCCCCTCCCCCCCCCCCCATCCACTGGTCCTCTATTTCCCTTCAGAAAAGAGCAGGTCTCTCAGGGATAGCAACCAAACATGGAGTAACAAGATACAATAAGGCCAGGCACATGCCCTCACATCAAGGCTGGATGAGACAATGCAGTAGGAGGAAAAGGGTCTCAAAAGCAGGCAAAAGAGTCAGACACAGCTCCCACTCCCACTGTTAGGACTTCCACAAGAACACCAAGCTACCCAATCATAACATATATGCAGAGGACCCAGGATGGACCCATGCAGGCTCCATGATGGTTGTTCCAGTCTCTGTGAGCCCCTATGAGACCTGGTTAACTGGTTCTGTGATCCACTACTCTATTTAACGGAGTCACGTCAATGCTATGCACACAAGGCTGTGATACGGAATGAGGAGCCTGTTCGAATTTTTGAAAGCTGCTGTGGGATTGATGGTGGTGCCCAGGCCTGAAAGGCTAGTACGAGCAAGCAAAGGAGAGAGTGCATGCAGAAACTTGATGATGCAAAAGATATATGTGCATGTTTGAGTGACAAGCACGCTAATACATTTGACGGGATGTGTTTGCCACTCAGGCCTGTGGCTTTGGTGAAAGAGAGTGCAGAGAGCAATCACAGCAGATAACGTACGGATGTTTTTTTGGCATCAAACGACATGCGCATCTGTTGGAAGATTTTGAATTTTGTTCTTAGAAAACCCACTTTGGTTGCATGTGGTAAATGAAATGATCCTTGTACCCGTTCCCCCTCGCCCCCACACCCTGGCAACTGCTGTCAATGCCGTGTGGTGTGTGTTCTCCGTCACTGGAAGTGTGGAAACCTGAACTGAAGCTGATGGGCCCATGACATGAAATAAGCTCCGGCTGGACTTTACAGGAGAACTTGGAAGCAGAGTTCGCCACCAGTGAGCTCAGGTTGTCTCAGAAGAGGGTGGGGGTGTTCATGGCTGTTAGCTGTGCACACGAATGCTGTTTGCTGCAGTTCCCCGTCCTGGGATTGTATGCTTTTCATAAAAGCTGTCGTTGGATATTCTTAAACTGGTTTTAATAAAGAAAACTGGCTGGAGCTGAGCTATGGTGGCCTTGGGTGGGGAACAATGATACTCTGATTTGTTATTACTTGGATCATTACACATTTTCTAAATGTATTAGGTATACATTCTATTTTTAACTTTCTCTCCTTTCCAAATTAAAAAAAAAAAGACTACCAAACTAATTTCAGCATTACCATTTAAATGAAATATATGATAATAAGGCATCTGGTCAAATGAATTTATATATTTTTTTCATATATTTTGCTAAGAAAATTTCATATTAATAACATTGAAGATAGCTATTTTGACAGGGACATAATATACACATACTTATAGTCATTTTTTTCTAGAATAAATGACTGTCTAAACTCACATTAGAATTTGGTTTGTGATTTTTCTTTAGTATAACAAAAGTCAAGAAAGGAGAATGATTTGGATGCTTGCAGGCTTAGTGGTAGATGTTAGCAATATTAAGGAAACTAATCATTAACCTAAGTAGTATTTGTTGAAACCCGAAATAGTTTCCTTACCATTTCTAAACAACTACGGAGGGTCAGCAGAGATGGAGCTTTTGATTTGGAGGATGGTTGTGGTATCTACGATGCCAGAGGCATGGGAAGCACCATAAAGGCTTTGCAAACAGTGAGGACTCAATAGCCGGCCTTTCAAATTGCACCTCTCTCTGCTTTCACTGTTAAAAAAGCTCTGTGCCTTCTGATATAATTTTTTACATTTAATTTTCTCTTCTTTTAACAAAAGTATGAACTACGCATGTATTACAACATTTGCCAGCATCTTGGAAAAGAAATACATTTTGGTGAAATAAGGGCATTCTTAAATTCTTTTCCCCTTCTTCTCTTGGCTGTGCTGAGAATCAACCCAAGGGCATGCAAATGCTAGGAAAGCACTCTGCCACCGACCTGTGCCCCCCACTCATAAAACAGCCTTCACGAAGGTGAATGAAGTGTTCAAGCATTTGTGCAACTTCAAGAACTTCACAATCAGTACTACATAAAGTGACTGACTTTTAAAGGGCAATTTTCAAAATTATCTTAACTTCTTTTTTAAGGATAAACTTTAAACTCAGAGAAAGCAGTGTGGTTTGGTATTGGGAGAGTTTGAAAAAAAGAAAGAAAGAAAACCCACAAAGCAAAAGTAGCTGCATTTAGATAAGGGAGAGAAGGGTGGGACACGGAAACAATACTCCGAAGTGCTTTTCTTTCACAGATCTTGGTTCAAACGAAGGTTAAATTCCAGAGGATGTGTTTTCCCCATGTGGAGCCTTAAAGGACATGCCTTTGTTTCCACCTTCCCAGAGACGATATATGCTAACACAAACAAGGCATTTCATAATAAATTTAACTTTTATAGAGTGACTAATGCCTTGTGAAGATAAGTCAGACTCTCAGTCACCTGTGCTTAATCTGGGCCGAAGAAAAGATGCCAAGGGCGCGCTGACAAACTCTTCCTTAGGGAAGGATGACAGCAAGCTGCCGGGGAGCCGCGAGACGCTTGGGTTTGAGCCTTTTTGGAATGCTTCTCCCTCACGGCGGGCGAGCACAGTTTAGCGTTTATGTACTTTGGAAGGACAAAGAGGTTAGGTGAGCCTGCCAAAGTCTGAACCTGTTTCTGGGAACCGGTTAGTAGGTCAACTGTTATAAATTTAAGAGAAACTGAAAAGCAGTGATGGATACTGGAAACGGGGCCCACACATGGCTGTGTGGAGCCTTCACACTGTTTCCACCAGATCCCAGGTGAGATGACAGGAAGCCTGGGTCTCTCTCTCTAGCTCCAGCCAGCCAGGTGTGGGTAGGGGCTTGAGGGGGGCATGAGATAGTGTGGAAAAAGAAAACCTTTTCCTGCTAGGAATAGCCACTGTTAACAGAAATAAAAATCTTTAGAATTTTGTTTGGGGGGTCTTCCTGTAACAATAACTTATTAATCTGTTACCTTCTCAAAGAAACACAAATCATGTATGTATGTATGTGAATAGTGCCTTTCCTTTTTTTTCTTTTTATCACATTATTATTCATTAACCAGAGGCATAATTCCTAAGTCTCCCATCTAGAAAAAAACAAGGTAATTTCACTCATTAAACATACACATCTTTTTTCCATCTATAAAACCTGTCAACTTCAATTGAAGGGGTCAAAATTAGTCTTACGGCAACTGGAGAGAAAGGTCAAATGGCATATTGTATCAAACATATGTGCGTATACATTATGTAATATTTAACTTATTTTTTAAAGTTATAAATTCATCTTTGACAGGAGACTTAGGACATTTATTTAAAACTTTAAGTAAAACGGGAGCTTTTTCACTCATGAAAAAAAGAGAAGTTATCAACATAGAATAGACATATCATAAAATCAATATAAACTTGACTTTAGGTTGTATTTTTTAAAAAAACTTCTGAAATACCTCTTTAGTTTTTAATCATTAACAAAGATTCTAGGGGGAATTAAGTTATTTCAGGTTATCCCACGGTACTTATTCCTTAGTGTGCCCAATTCCTTCTTGGGCTCTAGGTTAAATAAAAAGCTTCAATGCTCGCCTTCATCTTGTTATGTTAGCCACTGACTGATAGAAGAGAACTTGGCTGACTCTGACTGACAAACGATAAGAATGCAGTTTCTTGGCTCAAGCTGTGTCACATCAAGTTTCAAAAATCAATTAGCTTTTCGGAAAAAAACACCACAAGGGGGCAGGTGAACCCAGGCTAGCTCCTAGGTAAGAGGGTCCCAGTATCAAAGAACTTTGATCAAAGAAGGTGGGAGATAGAATACACTGAAAATTAGAAAGAACTCTAAAGACATATTTCTTCATGAACATAGGCATTCGATTTCACACATGTAAAACTTTATTTAAAATTTACCCAAAGACATTACTTACAATATACCAAGAATACAAATGAAAGAGACCAAAGCATCATAAAACTGTCACACATAGAAAGGGTTTACTATGTTTAAGAAGGCCATTTGGCTACCTGCAGAGAACAATTACGTGAGAAGAAATGCACTTCAAGGCAACCTTAATATTGAACAATTCCATAAAGCAAAAGTAAAAATTTAAGAACTGTAACATCTGATTATTAAGGATTTAATTTCAGGCAATTTAAGAAAGATAAAAACTTCTGATGACAAAGGTTATTTAGAGTCTGTTTTGATTTTCATTTAGAAGTTAACATTAGCCTACCAATAGAAGGCAAAAATTGCCTCCTTGAAAGTAAGTCTCTTCTATAAATATTTTTAAGTTCACACAAGATATCCCCCATGAAAACCTGAATGATAATATTGTCTACAGCCAACCCATGTCCACACCTTCTGGGTAAAACACCCAGAATTAATACCATTTGGCAAATGTGGAAATTACTGTCAGCCTTCCTTTAATATCTCTAAGACAATGTATTCAGTTACATGATACAGATCATAGACACTATTTTCTTTACAACAATTAACAAAATGAAAGGCAGAGGTTGGAATAGGAAAGGGAAGTTCTCGATGTTTCCCTCTTACTAGTAGTTTTTATTTAGTTTCTCACATCAGTTAGAGTCTTGAATGTCACTTCTGCGGCAGCTTCTCTTACTAATGATGTCACTTTCTTATTAAGACTTCTTCAGTAACTTTCTATAGTAATCATGTAAAAGTCAAGTCTTTGGTTAGAAATCTATTGTTGATGAGGTTATCCCATAACAGACTTCAGAGTAAGCTACAAATCTGCAGAACAGCAGACTCTAGGTTGAATATCCATTCTATAATATAACTAATTTTGGTTTGATGGTTAGCTTCATAGGGCTTAACAATCGAACTATAAAGCATATTTTTTCAAGCAAAGCTTTGGATTAAAATATTAGTATTATTATTAATATATTCAAATGTTAGTCTCTATTCTCACAAGCCATTTCTCTCACATACACTCATTGTTCTCTGTGTGGATAGATGTGCATATGGACAGATGCACACATACATGATATAGTCTTGTACACACAAACATACACACATACATACATACATACATAACCCATGATGCAGTCCATCGATGGTATTTTAGAGTATTCTTTCTCTTGTTTTCACTCTGTGAATTAACCTTCTTTTCTTGGTCGTCTTCATACACATTGTCACTTCAAGGACATGAAAGTGGCTTCTGCAAGGCCTGAAAGAAAAATAATGCTTTGACTTGTCAGTTTGAGAAGTTGGGTAGCTTTTAAAAGCTGCCCAGCCCAGGGTTATTGCACACAGTAGACATTCAATAAATATTTGTTGATTTGATTTAGTCTAGGCTAAATAACCAAGTAACTGACTCTTTTTGTCATCCAATGTGTCATGGTTGAGCCTGTGTACAAATGTATTTATAAATAAATATTAATGGTCATAGTCATTGAAGATGTCCTAGAGAGGGGAACAATGTTGATCTGCAGTCTCCCGGGAATAGCAATGACTGGGATCATGTTCACAACATGTCCTGAGTAGTTATGACAGATAAAAGACATCATGAGGTCTCACTAACTGGAGCGCTGAGAAGCTGCTTGTAAACTGGGTTTGCTCCAGATCTCTTAAGTCAATCACATTTTGATGTGTTACATTTAATTTTTTTTAAAAAATGAAATATTTTGATTATAAAATTTACTGAGGACACATAAATCATACAATGTTTTCGTTGGTATCTTTTCCAATGCTCTAGTCACCAAACAATGTTTACATATGTTTCCAGTGATAACTTAAAGGCCTTCAGCACAGGGAAAGAGAATTTCTCCCAAACTTGATGTGTACCACTGGACTGGAGGTAAGCTGTCCACTCCTGTCATTTAAAATAGCATATTGATTTATTTCCTTCTCTGGATCGCAAACAGTAAAAGTCAGTGGTGAGCATTCAACACGTTAAATTTTGGCTCAAAGGGAATTTACAACAGCAAGCCTTCCGATGAAATCTGTCAAAACATTAACCACGAGGACACAGCTTTCAGCTCTTAGCAGCAGCAGACAGGGAGGCAGTGTGGCTGACAACCTAGGGTGGATGCCTTTTCCCAGCTTTGAAAATGTCTGCTGGTGGCACACGATCAAATTCTTACATGTTCTTATTTTACCCAAATGTGAGACTTGTAAAAGAAGATGGTATGTTTTACACACATGTTTCCAAAGAGATGGGAGATCCTAGAATTAAAGAGATAATTCTAAGTGAAAAATAATTAGCTAAGAGAACATTAGATGTTTAACCCAAAAGCTAGAAATCCATAGTGCTCTCTTGTCTGATGAACTCCAAGTTGAGAATGGATACAGTCAGTCTCTTAACGTTTTTTGCTACCTTAAGGCAAATATGATTCCCTTGGCTGTGTGCCAGCATGTGGACACTCTTTGTTAAGATAATTTTAATTTTTCACATGGTAAACAATGGCGGCATTGTTTGCTCTTCCTTGATGAGTAAAGAAGCAACATTTCCTAGAAAATTACAAACAGAACACTCCTGAAATGAATCACTCAGCAGGCAGTCACTCATAATCAAGATGGTTAACTTTGCAATGTACACAGTGGAAACAGTTTCAGAACACACACTCTACTGAGAAGTTAGATACAGTTAGGACATATTTATGACAAGAAAATACTTTTAAAACAACTTAAGGTTTTCAGTGTGGTGATGTCGTAGTCACACAAAGTAATATTCTATGCTTCAATGTTTCAGAAGGCTTTTGACACACGGACCTGCTTCTGCAGAACAGCACATACCCTAAGCCTGAGGATCTTCAACATGTTCTCCGGTGGCAACTGGTGGAGATTAAGTAGAGACGTAAAATTAGTATCTGAATATTCATCTTTGGAATTATAGCTTGGGGAGCAATATTCATGCTCCCCCATCCTCTCAAATATTTGCAAATGCAGCTCAGGGCTTGAAAGAATAATACATAACTAGAAACCGAAGAAAGCACATAACCCAATCCATAGTTGCAAAACCCTCAGGTATTTCTAGGGAATTGAGTGACTTTGGAACTGAAAGCAGATGCAGTAACACAGGCAGCAGCTAAGGACACCACATTGACTGGTATCTGGATTTTATTCACCAGCTATTGCTAAGTTTGGATGTACTTGGTTCTGGAAAGAGATTTAGCTACTGCTCTTCTTCAGCGATGATGTAACTGGACTGCTCAGTAGTGTGGAAACTTTGTAAGAACTTTTAGAGTCAGCAAAAGGAAGCCATGGCTTCTCTTCATCAGGGTGGGTTTTCAAACTTCTGATTGTTTGGACCACATTTTAACATCTACACAAGAAATCCTGACTTAAAACAAACCAACTAAACAAAAACCCCAAACAATAGCATCATTAGCAGCAACAAAACCTTTCAGTAGTCTTTTACTTGAAATGGACGTAGTCACAAAATAACCCGACAAGCTTCAGGCAGGCACTGGCTCTGATCTGTCCCAGTGCTAGACAACTGATGTGACAAATCTGTTTTTACCATAACTGTAGACAAAGATACTGAATTTTAATCTTTTAACGTGTTTTTTTCTCCTTAGAGATGCTCATCATGCGAATGGTTCAAAAACTATTGCCATTTGAAAATTCAGGTTTTGTTGTTGAAGAAGAATGATTATCCATCAAGTATTTACCTGAGCAATGAAATGAACAAGAATGAAGCCTGACCCCCAGAAGCTTGCCTTCTAATGGGAGACAGCACAGGAATACTCAGGAGAGAGAAAACTTAATAACCACCTCAATAGAGAGCTGCAGAGAGCGCCACCAGGCACACAGAACAGAAAGAAACTTGGCTGTGGGGGTGGGCTAATTAGGGAATGCTTCTTGTAGGAGGTGGCATGTAAGCGTTCTTGAAGGATGATTCAGATTTAAACAAATGAAAGCAGATTTCATTGAGTAAAGGATTAAAATGGTAAGTGAATTAAATAATCAAAGTACAGCATAGGAACTCACTGGAAATATGGGCTTGGAACACAGGCTCTACCTTATTAATTTCCTCGCCATCCACATGAAAATAAACCTAGAAGGGCAGGTCTATGGATGGCCTAGACAGCTGACTCATAAGAAGACCCAATATAACAGGACCAGATAATTGTCTTAAAATTTAGACAACAATATTTGTGATATTTAAACTTTCAGCCTATAATAAATGTTTGTACAGTCTCTATAAAAGCAGGAATAACGTGATTATTCTTGGAGCTTTAAATGAAAGGCAATTTCTGACCTTCAAAAGCTTTTCCTGACAATTCTATTGGCAAATGAAATTATATATTCTCATTCCTCATGACTGTTCTTTATGAAATGACCACGTTTAAAATGCAAAAAGCATCTTATTTTTTGCAAAGTGACAAAACGATGATGTAATATGGCCCTACATATTGATTAGTAATTAGTACACATTTAACTGAAGTACGATTCTTCAAAGCAGAAGCATTGTTGTGTTTGATGTCAAACTATTACTGAAACTTTCCAAGCATACTTGGATTTCTCAGCACTGTCTTTAGAACTAAGCTACGAATTACAGAAGATACTATCTTTCCTTTTTCAATCACATAGATTTTAGACTCAAAATATACTTGGAAGCAAAATGAAGCCCAGAGATTTTCAGCCCAGCACTTGTTCTTAGCACGTCCATGTGTGCATAATCCACATGGGTCTGAGACATTCTTTGTGACATGGTCAAGAGAATCTCTAAGCAACTAAAAACATTGGTGGCGAAGGAAAGTGCCACATGAGACAATATACATGCCTGTTGTACCTCTCAGTTCTCACCTCTCAAATATGTAATCTTGGTTTCTGCATTTTATCTGAGTCTCTGTGAAAACAGTCACACACTTTGAAGCTTCTGTTAGCATAGTTTTGGAATGAAACTCACTTCCTAAGTTTTTCACTTTTTTTTTAAAAGATATATCTTGGTAAATCAATTTTCATATGTATTTTGAAGACTTTTTATGGAGTGGCTGGACTGGGCAGGCAAGAACATCTAGATGCCGTAAAGACAGATAAACCGTATAGTTGTAGCTGTAAAACCAGAACTGCTGGTGGCTGCTGGCTTCTAAAGTCTTTCCTGATTAGAGCCAGTGTTAAAGTTCCTTAGCTGGAGCTTAACAACACAATGGCTGAAGGAACGGAGTTGCCACACAAGTGTTTAAATTCCACACCGGATCCCTAGCTACAACAGAGAGGAAAGTTCAAACAACAAAAACAGAGTTGCAAGGTCTGACTTGCGTGTCATGGATACTCCTAACTCATCACCAGGCTGCTCTTGTGCGCGGCAACCAGACCCTCCCCAGCAACACAGCTAATTGAATAAGGATTTCGAAGCTTTGGGCTACCGATAAGCCAAAGTGGCACATGGCTCATAACTCAAACATTTCATTTTAGGCAGCTGTTATTTTTCCTTGCCAGGGCTAATTTGGACTCTTCAATCACTCTCTGTTCTTTAATGAAAAATTGTTTGTAGTTATTGGTGGAGACAGAGAGCTACAGTTATTGTTCTTGGAAGGTAAATAATTATTGCTCATTTTACTCATGTATACAAGTGATACTAAATTCAGGGCATTAGCAGTACAACTCTCCTCTCTCTCTCTCTCTCTCTCTCTCTCTCTCTCTCTCTCTCTCTCTCTCTCTCTCTCTCTCTCTCTTTCTCTTTCTCTTTCTCTCTCTCCCTCTCTCTCTTCCTCCCCTCCCCTCTCTCTTCCTCTCAAATGCTCGAGCCAGACTATTGCTTCCCATTATAATTTACTTAACCCCTCCTACAGTAAACTAAAAATATTGGACAGAAAACAAAAATTATATTTTCTAATCCGCCAATAACAGTAGTAAAGAACATTTCAAGTCCTCACTCTAAGAAGAAACAGGAATCCCGAGTGATAAGTAAAACCCAAAGGGTAGCTGTTAATGGGGTAAAGTTGAGTCTTGCTTATTATGTTATCAGGACACAGGAGACAAAGCCTGGGACCTGCCCAAAGATAGACATCTAGAATCCAAGCTATGAATGGGGACTATTTGCCTACAAATTTTTGCCCTACAAAATTTATGATTACAAATTAGCCTCCATGTGGATTTTTGACAAAATTAGTACCTTCTAAGTGACCAAATACATTTCAAATCAAGCTTTAGAAGTGACCCAAGGTTCATATATGTCTCTAAGTGTCTGGGCAGGAACCTGCTGCTAACACAGCTCTTGATACAAAGCACAGAGAATAGTCACAAGTTCAAGCTCACATTAAAGAATAACCAAACACTCCAGGCCACAGGAGAAGTAACTGTAGGCAGGAGTCACAGCACAAACAGCATGAATACTTGAGGTACTCAAATGATGGGAAAACAAGTATTGAATGCATGCTGCAAAACATAGGACAACAACGATAAAAAACATGAGATAGCTAGACTATGAAAATTACCAAGAGGATTTGGAACTGAACAGATTGTAACTTCCAGAAATGAAAATTATAATAACACCAATTATAGACTCATTGGATTTCTGCTTCCAATCAGGACAGTCTGTGGGAGACTCACGCTCCTGCCAAGAACAACTGGAAATGCTGGTTAAACTAACGAGTATTTGCTTCAAAGTCTCAGAGAAGGGCTGAGACAAAGACAACTCAAGGGGCTGGCTAAGGCTGGGAAGGAGAGCCCAACTGCACGGCAAACAGATGATCTGTGGTCACTTTCCCTAAAGCTCAGTGGCGGGTCTGTGAAGACTGGCTGATACCTGCTAGGAGGGACAGTAAAGCCAGTGGGGCCTCTGGAACATTCTAGACCTCCAGATGGATGCTTACACCTTTTCTAGAAACCCAGTAAAGCTAAATTCAGCAGAATTCCGAAGCGGCAGATATACAAAGCTAAAATGGAATTAAGTAAAGGAGTCTCAACCAAGATATGGCTTCCATAACATAAAGCCCCAGAGAACTACACCAAAGAGGAAAACAGAAAGTGTTAGAACTTTACTCAGACTGCAACCCAGTCTCAAGCTAGTGCCAAGCTTGCCTGGTTTAGGATGGCTGGTTTCTGCTTAGTCTTCTCAGTAAAGGACAAGCCCTCTCTATAGGAAGACCATGTCATCTGGAGATTCAGGATGTCTGTCACTGAATCAAAAATTAATAGGCATGCCAAGAGAAAAAAAATAGACGATAGAAAATAGACTCATAGGTAATTCGGATATTGGAGTTGGTACATTTGGATTTATAGTGATTCCATTTATATATTTATATTCACACACACGTGCTTGGTGACAAGTTCCCCTACCCACTGAGCCTTCTTTCTGGCCCCCGTTTGGGTTTTAAAGTCACGATGACTAGTAAATTAAAAAAAAAAAAGATAGGCAAAGGGGAACAGCCAACAGGCCATCGAAGAATGCAAAAGCATACAATCTGAAGTTAAGGATTCCACAGATGGCTTTATAGCAGAAGGAAGAAATAAAACACATTTTTAAACCAGTTCTCTTTCCCCGTGGTGCAAACAAGAATGGGAGAATCTGCAGATGCCACCATGTCTGAAGTATCCTGGGAGGAAGGGGCATGCCTCTTCACCCTAAAACTCTGTTTCTAGCAGTTTGTGTCTTCGAGGGCAGCAGGCAGCAAAGGAGACATCTTTGGACGGACGGAAGCCGAGAGGACAGCGCTGGAGTTGGTGACAAAGCAAAAATGGTAACAGGTGGGTGTGGATCTCAGCGAAGAGCACCAGGGGCAATAAGGGGGCACCAGGGGCAGTAAGGGAGCACCAGGGGCAGTAAGGGAGCACCAGGGGCAGTAAGGGGGCACCAGGGGCAATAAGGGAGCACCAGGGGCAGTAAGGGGGCACCAGGGGCAGTAAGGGGGCACCAGGGGCAGTAAGGGGGCACCAGGGGCAATAAGGGGGCACCAGGGGCAGTAAGGGAGCACCAGGGGCAGTAAG